GCGTAATTCGAAGTCCAGTACCATCTCCGATCATTACATCATCTGTTCCACTGTATGGTGAGTGGAGAGAGAGATTTTGAAGGTCAGCTGTGATATGATGGGAGGCTCCACTGTCGAAAAGCTATGAGGCTTCGTTGGAGGGTGAAGTTGCGACATAATTTGCCCGTGGTTGCCACGGGGTAGGACTCTGAACAGATTGCTGATTGTTGAGATGGGTGATTTTATAGGAGGGACACCTTTTTGCCGTGTGTCCCTGGACCCCACAGATCTAGTAATGGCCAAGGTAAGGCCTGGGTGAAGAACGACAGTTATCAGAGGATTGCTGGCATGGATTGGATGCTTGAGGCCGGTTGAAGGAATTGTGCCACTCTGGTTTTGATGCATTTGAGTGGTGGAGTTGTGGTATCTGTTGGTATTGTTGCGGAATGTGGGGTGGGCTATGGGGTAGAAGTGCTGTTGTTTGGTGGTGGCAGTGAGTGACGCCTCAAAACTGAGGAGTTTCTCATGAAGTTCTTCAAAGCTGATGGATGTGTCTCGGGCTTGGACAGCTCGGACAAGTTCTTTGTAGTCGTCACCGAGTTCCTCCAATATCTTCTCGGTGAGATCTTCGGTGTCAAGCGGTGCTCCTAGCAAGGACAATTCGTCTGCCCATTCCTTGACTAACTACAAGAAATCAGTTATTCCAAGGGTACCTTCAGTGAGGGATTTGAAGTGAGCTTTCACTTGTTTGATCCTTCCTCTAGATGGTTGAGCATAGGTGTTAGCCAGGATTGTCCATGCCTCCCAGACGGTGGTGGCCTGAGCAATAAATGGAATTATTGTCGGGGAAATTGACCCAATGAGGGCGTTAAGGATCAGCTAGTCCTGTCGAATCCATAGCTGATGGGCTGGGTTAGGTGAGGTCGTTTCGCCTCTGATGATGGTGGCTGGCGGGCAGGTTTTGGTTCCATCCATAAACCCTTGCAGATCATACCCAATGAAGAGTGTTTGGAATTGAAGCTTCCATGACAGGTAATTAGAACTGTTAAGTTTTAGTGGAGCTTGGGCCGTGACATTTATGGTGATGAGATTGGTTTCGTTGGCTCGAAGATTGCCATTCTGGGGGTTGATTTGGTCGGCTATGAAGAAGGTGGAAAAAAAAATATCAAAGTGCTCTTAATACCATGTAAAGATGAAGACAGGCAATGGAATGATTAATTTCTCATTTACTGAGGTGAGAGTTTTATACACGTTTGTACATTCTTATCAAGTTTTCAAAATAGAAAACTAACAACCTAAGCTCTATCTGCAATACATTTGAAATACAAAACCGATCGAGATATGTGGATTGTTCAGTGCTTATCATGATCCAGTAAGAGATAGGAGAGAAGTCCAAGTCTTCAGAAACGCCAAGACCATGTCCGTTAGAGAGACCGTTATCAGTATCATCCTCCTACAATTT